CTTTGCATTTTATTTTTTGATAACGAGTGCAACATTTTTCTGAATGTAAGTAGGGATCGGAAGAACGCGTAAAAGTTTTGTCTCGTATTTCATAAAAAAATTAATTTTTTTAAGTTTAAAAATACCAAACTTTAGTCTTTGAGTCTTTTAAAGCATTTCTGCAGTTGTAAGTATATATGTCTGCATGCAACGGTTACGAAAGTAAAACGCCAATAAGGACTTTTATGGACACGGTGTATATACTATATTTCAAATATTTTGATGTTCTGTTCTGAGGTCAGAAAAGAAATTTGCAAAAAATTTTGCGGGAACTGTAACAGCCGAAATTCTTTTTTTTATTCAGTTGTAATTTTATCGAATTACAGTAAAGATTTAAGTTTATGAATTGACAACATTAGATAATATTTTTAATTGACAAGAGAAAAAGAATATGTGTACTATGTTTTTTATTTTCAAATTTTTAAGTTTAAAACATATTGTTGCGTGCGCACGGGTTCGTAATGGATTGAATGTACAAATCCGATGAAAAGTAAATAAAATTTATTCTTATCACAGAAAATAAAACAAACTGCTGACATTTCTTAAGCGATATTTGTACACTATGCCAATATCTCACAGTACTGAACATTTTAAACTACTTTTCACAGTACTGAACATTTCACAGCATTTTAAACTACTGAAACGTTCAACAGAGCTTAATTCAAAATGGAGAAAGCTAATCCGATTTCACTGCGAGTTCGCTACAATCATTAACAGCAATAAGTAAACAATTGAATTAAGATGTTTTCTTCCAGCTTTTATATTATTTTTAAAATGCACGAGAATAGTCTCGTATTTTCTGGATAGCAAGAGTACAGTTACGAGATATCTATTTATTAAATGCACGTGCTCCTGTATTTTTAATTTTTCGGCGTAGCTTTCTCTTCAAATAAGTCTCTGCTGCATTGCACGGGAATATAAAACAATTTTAATAATAATTCTATTAAAATTAAACTAGCAAACTAAATAAATACAAAATCCGTAACAATATTTAACAATTAACTCTTTTTTGAGTTTGTACCATATTACCAAATTACTTAAAAAACCGTAAGAAACTGTTAGACGGTTTTTCATATAGTCAAAGTTTTTAGCTAAAAGTAGTACAACTAAAATAAAAGTTTGAAACTGCACAGTTTTCACAGTTATCTAGCTGAAGGTTTGAGAGAACTATTACGCTAGTTTACAAGTGAACAAAATTCAAATTGAGTCAAATGCAGATTCCAGAATTAACAAAGCTAGGGTAGACCTAAGCTCACCCCCTAACTAAACACTCGCGAAAAAAAAGAAATCGCTTCTAGCAGAAATTTTTTGCCGGCAAGCTGGTGAGCTGTTCAAAGTAAATTTAAAGCGGAGTGTCGATAAGCCTATGTTGCCATGGAAAAAGCAATAAAAATTTTATTGATATATTTAAATTAATTCTAATGGAAGTTGGACAAAGTATAAGCTATAGAAAAGGCAAAATGATAAGGTAAGAAGATTAAATAAAATAAAAACTTACAAGTTGATGATCTTTAAAGTTTTTTTTTTTTTCAGACAGCGAGTCAATTTATTTTTAATTATTTTTTTGAAATACTTGTCACTTTCAGAAGTGGTCGCGTAAGGCAGATTATATATACATCTGAGAGATTTGCATATATTCGCTATGGACTTTATTATATCTATACTTTTTGCATTATTTAAAGTTCACGTAACAAAGGTTAGACTGGTAATTATTAATTCAAAATTTCCAGCACAACTTAAAAAACAAATGTTTGACGAACTGTTCTGACTCACCTACATTTTTTGCGTGCATTTACATTGTTTCTACTCATACTGATGTGTTTTAATCCTGTATTAAATTAAAATATTTAATCCTTCATTGACAAGTATCAAATTTTTTCTCAAATGAATTATGCTTTAAAAGAACTTTCTTTCTTACCAAATCCTCTAATATTTTTACTGCATCTTAAATACATTTAATTATATAGTTTAAAATAATTAAATACCTTTAGAACTATCTAAATATTATAAAAAGTTTAAATATAAAACATAAAATTTTTATGAAGCAAAGAATTAATAACAGTTTTAAAGCTATGAAAGATTTCAGCGCGTGGCTACTCACTGAAGAGATTAAAAAAAGGTAAAAAAGGCAAGTTTAATGTAAATTAGAATTTATAACCAAATTTTAAACCCAAATAACTCAGAAATGGCTTATACAGTTTATACAAAATTTGGGACCTATGCATAGTTTGAGGTATAGAATTAAACATACAATCGGCTACATAAAACAATCGGCTTGTTGATTCAAACAAAAAGTCCAGTCAGGAGTCAAAATACACACGTCAGAGCAATGTTATAAAAATCAAATGTAAATCCTAACTAGCTCTTTCTAGACATGAAAAACGCAAGATGAATTCCGTCCATTCGTCAACTACAACGGGAACTACAGAATTTGTTTTCCTTTAACTTATTGTACCCCTGCATCTTCAGCGTATCCAAGTAAAATTCTGAGTGTGTTTTATCTTAAAAACGTATTCATTCTTTTCTGTAATAATTACGTTTCATAAGTTTTGACAAGCAGAGCCCGGCTGCACCACTTTCGCATAACGTTTTCATCATAGGTTTTAAATGTTAACCATTGAAATTTTTTCTATATATGGTTAGCCCTTCTACTGCTATTTTTAGTTTTGAATGTTGAACGTCTAATACGATAAAGAAATATTTACAGCAGTAAGATATAGAGTTGATACGTTAAGCTTCTAAATATGCACTTAGATAAAGATAATGCTTGGATAAGATATTTAAATATGCACTTAGATAAAGTCCTTAAGGCCAAGGCATTAAACAGTACAAATTTATGCCTCTTAGTGGCAAAGAAATTACAAACACACCTCCTTAGATATTCCCTTTGACCCCGTTAAGTATAGGCTTAAATATGTTTAAGACGCTCACTTCTGTTCACCTTTAGTAAAATCAAAAGATGTACCTAATTGTCTTCATGTTTAGTCTTCATAAGTGATAATTTTATGTTTATAGCTGTCCAGTCCCAATTTAAGGATATTCTCGATATAATTATTGTTTTCATTGACCTTGCACAAAACATATACCAACTAAACCAGAAAACTATTCTGTATCAAAAACTTTATTCTAAAGTTAACTTTACGCTGCTGCTTTGCGCTGAAAACGTAAACTGATTGGATAGTTAATAAGCACAACAAAACAGTTTAGCTTTTCGAAATATGTATCATATTTAAAAATGGATTCAGTTTTCCCTTGATTGATAACTTCAACTCAATGCTGCCCTGATCGGATATCATCAGCAGTGCTGGCTGTCGTATCGATAGGCTCGGTTTCGAATCACGAAAAGGACATAGATATTTGTAAATGTATTGTGTACTTACGGAATCGGGCACTTAAATGCAATCTAGCGGAAAGCACTTTCGCGCGGTTGGAGGTAAAGATTTTCTTAGTCAAAACTGGACGGAGCTAAGCATATTGTCCTCTTTAAGGCGTACGACAGACAGTCTCTTCCACTTAGTTCGTTAGTGATTAGTTCATTTAATATAATATCAGAAGTATAGGTCAAGATCAGGATAATAAGTAAAAACATCCCAACATAATAACAAATTTTAATAGATTTTTGGCAATAATTAAATCGAAGTTTGACAATATTTTACAAAATTCCCCTCCTACATAATTACAAATAACTTAATACATAAATAATTAACAAATAATTAATACATAACTTTAATAAAAATTAAGACTTTTGTAACTGAATTTATTTTTTTTTGCCATATGTTAAGGGGACTCATACACCTTAAAACCCATAAGATGTTTGAATAGGTGACTGTTGCAAGAATTGGGATAACTTACTTATTTTAAAAGCAGTTATTACCAACTTTTTACAGCTGACTACATAATATAGCTGCTTTCTGAAATAGTAATCAGAAAGATTGTGTTGCCACAAATAGTTTTATAATTTAATCCGCTTTGTGACAACATTTTTCGTCATGTTTCCAACTTGCGCGCACAGTTTAAAGCATTCTGTTTCATAATTTAATTCCATATTTAATATATAGCTTTTATAACATTTAGAAACTACTGTGAACCTAAAATTCTAAAAATTTCATGTCAAATTTTTATTTGATTTTGAGTTGAGTTTATAAAATGTATTTTATTAACAAAATTTGTAATATTTGCGTCCATAAAATTTTTCAATATTAAAATATTCATCAGATTGTTGGTTCAGTTAGAAAATAGTGCCCCTATAAAGAATTCCATCCAATTTCAAGTATGTACCATTAGCCATTTTTAAAATATCATGCGCGCAAGGTTGAAACATGGCGAAATATTTTGTCATGAAGAGGATTGAATTACAAAAATATTTGGGGCAACACAAACTTTCTGGTTACTAGTTTCCAAAGCAGCTATGTTATGTAGTCACCTGTAAAAGGTTGGAAGTAATTGCTTTTAAAATAAATAAAATATCTCAATTCTTGCAACAGTCACATATTCGAAGATCATGAGGGGTTTAAGGTGTATGAGTCCCCTTAATTCAATAATATAAAATTTTACACTCTTAACATTTTACACTCAACGCTAACAATATACTCAACTATTGGCGAAATGCTGACTGTGACATCACATTTCCTTTGTCAAAGTAGTGTTTCACGCGAGTTATTAAGCTTTGATTGAATGAGAGTAATTCAGACTCTGAATCGTTTCATATGTAAATATCGATCACGCCATAAAGAGAGAGAGATTGTAGAGGAGTTTCAACAATATTTATTGAAAAAATGGTTTTCCTTCGCCCAACTTTTAGAGTGTGATAAACTGGAGCAGTGCGATAAATATTTTGATAAAGAAAAAAAAATTATTGATCTTGGGCCAAATGAAAGAGCATTGAGCCAAATAATGCTATCTCTCTGTGATTTTGTAGCTCTCGCGATCTCAATATGCCATTGTGAATTTTGTTCACTGTAAAAACTATTTCTGTTTCTCTAAAGACTTCATCTTGGCTAGAGAAGAAGCTCGTTACTATAAATATCACAAACTCCTCGATTGCTTCAAGAGGAACAGTTCGCGCTCTTCTACTACTGACAGTGCCTTCATCGGGTAAGCTGCGAATATTTCTTTAAAAAATATTGAAACTTCCATTATTAACTTTTATAATATATGGCTACATGTTTTTTTTTTACTTTCATCATTTAAGCAAAGCCGAAATACTTTAACACTTTAATGATAGAAATTTTACTTGACATCCTAACAAACATAACGCTAAATATTATTATAACGAATGTATTTCAGAACGGCAGCTAGATTTTCTTATCAGTTTCGCGTAGTTATTTAAATTTTTGCAAACGCCTGGCAGTAAATTTTAAGGGATCTTTTAAATATATTGAAGGTCTTCATATAAGTATGTCTTGTAACAAGAACTAGAGTTTCTATAGCATTCTTATAGGTCTGTTTCAATTTTTTTCATAAGGCGAGTTTGATAGATATATTTCTATGCTACCTATGATATATATCTCGATAGACATAATCTATTAAATATCGCATTTAAACATATATATATATATATATATATATATATAAATTAAAATCATATTTACCCTACTGCATTTATTTATGTGCATAAATGATTTACTGTTCTCACTAAACTCTTTAAAAGAGTTCTAAATTAATTATTTAAATAAAAGCTTAAGAAAAGCTTAAAAGAAGAAAGTTATTTTAGAAGAATTTTAAGAAAAGCTTAAAAGAAGAAAGTTATTTTAGAAGAATTTTTAAGAAAAGCTTTTTATCTAATGCTTTTCAAAATTCATATCAGTTATTAACTAATTGTAAAGATATTCTTGTTAACGGTTAGCGATAAAATCTTGTCCATTAACAGTAGAGATCAGATGCGCGGAAGTAAGTTGTTGCTTTGCATAGGTTTCTTTAATTTAATTTTGAAATTATAACAGTATATAGCTCGTCAACGTAAGTAAATAAATCAATTAAAAATTATTTAATTTAAAATTCTTAATAATATTTTTCAACAAGCATCAGCTTACATTATAAGTATGACCTATAACCAAATATGTGCCTATAACCAAAAACAACTTTATAAACTTAAAAATTTCTTACTATACTGTTTCTGCACTGTAGACTCTGCATGCAAAATAAAATCGAACGTAATGTTAAAACTTTGCACTAGAGTATTCACTGGAATACATTTCTAATACAATTCTTAATACATTTCATCTTTAAAATTTTCAAGTAGTATAGTTATACGTTTTGGATTTTTCGATAATTTTCTGCTTATGATATTTTACATTCAAAATAGAAATGCAAAAACAAACGCAGGTGATTTAAATTCAAATTCTTCGTGATTTGTATTTTTATAAGATAGGAAAGATATTATTGCCTAAGTTCTGGAAAATAGAGGAAATTATTTATGTAATGTTTTGATATTTTAAAATTTATAAATTTTCTCAAATTTTTTAAAATTTTAACAGTTAACTCTTCCTTGAGGCGCTATAGTATATTATTCAAGATATTCAAAGTGCAAGTTAATTAAAATTATAATTTCTTGTATTTCATTCCTTTTAAAAATTGTTAAAAATTTCACATGGAAACGTTAAATAAAAAGGTTTAATAGTTTTGATAAGCTGTATAGGGAAAAGTGGGATAAGACGAGGTACATAAGACTCGAAGGCCTGCTGGAGTTAAACTATTCGACCAAGAGTTTACCAAAGTTAATTGAATATTCCTTCTTTAACTGAGTGCAATATAACATTCCTGAATATAACATTATTGTTTCACTACTTTTTTAATTAATCATTTTTTTTCTGAAAAAAGCGTCAAATCTCCCAGTTTTATTAGTGGTAGGAGGCACAGAAAAATAACAGTGTTTCCTTGTGTCTTGTTTATCAGGAAAACGTTTTTATTCCCCCATGACCATAAAGCAAAAAAAAAAAAAAACTGTTTTGAAAAAGGCGTGAATAAAAAATACCTTCAATAAATGAGCAAGATTTATGTCTATCATTTTTAAGAAGAATCGCCGTAGTATTGGCCTCCAGAATATTTCTAAAATAATAGTAAAGTTCCAAGAGGCAGGAGTTTCAGTTTTTATTGCCCGAATTCTGCAATATACCCCAATTTTAATGATGACAGGGCATTTTCTCTCTCTCTAATTATGTAACGTGAGATTTTTGTTTTCGTCTGAAAGCACTTTTATATTTTCCTGGATTTTTACATAAAATTTACTCGTAATGAGTGGATACAGAAAGAATGCAAATAAATTTTACACAACCATAAATATTAAAATATACAACTGCAAATTTCTGAAGCGAAATCGCCATCTAGCTTTAGAAACTAGTGTAAGGATTAAAAATCGCATGCGAACTGCAGTATTTAATGCATCCCTGTAATATTGAGTAAACTCTGACATATGTTTGACCTCGGTAAAATTTAAATGTGCATACTTACTTTATTCAAATGAACACTATTTGTTTTTCCAAATGTGAAAATGTGAAGTCTTCATCTGGTATAAATTCAAAAATCTTTATTTATATTACCATTTAACAATACGCGTGTTTTAAATGATGCCAGTTTATCCATATGCGACATGTGTAGAGTTCAATAATTCTCAATAACTCCTGGATAAATTTCTGTTTTAAAAGCTGCTAAATGTTTATTAACGATGCCTCTGGATGTCTCGTAATTATTAAGGGTGTAAGGTATATTTAAATTTTATAACAGTTATTTTAATTTCAGAGTCCTTTCCTTTTATCAGTTCTTGTTTCCACTTACAACTCCGTACCAGAATGAGGTTTTAGATACGCGTCGAATGTAAATGAGTTAGAAGAAATATTTAAGGAAGGTTCAACTAGCTTTCGATAGAGAGTGCTAGGAATCCTTTGTAGCGCGTGTTTACCTTCAGGCTAAGTCACTCTTGAAGCTATTACGCTCAGCCGTATTATAACGTGCCTTTTGATACTCGCCGGCTAGTTTAAATTAAGCGCCGACTACGTTAGATATTTATGTTTAGCTTCGATTAAGTTTCCTTTAGTTAACCGCAGTTTAGTTTCTTAGTCTAAGTTACAGCCCAAGTAGAGGCTTCCTGTAAGCCCGAGAAAGGACCGATTGTAATTCTTGTGTGAGTGAATAAAAGGGTATTTCAACCCCTCTCGAGTCTACGTTTTTAGCTGTTTGAACTCAGCAATAAGTCGCTACATAGTTCATTGGGTTTTTCGACTATTATCTTAGGCAAAAGGAGTGAGGAATCCTACAAGAGAAAAATAATAATACTTCCTTGCCCTTTTCAAAAGCTCTCTTTGTTTTTTGGAGCTGGAGATGTTTTATGCAAGTTATATATAAAGGTTTTCCAACTTAGCGGTGGATACATTAAAATGATGTACCCATATATCACATTAATCATATATAATCATAAATTACATATGAATCCCAAACATTCTTTAAAAGTTTGAGACTGTGCAAACTTGTTATACAAATTTCGAATTTTTGCAATTAGAAATTCGATGTGAAAAACATTTTGTATGTATAGCATATTTACTCTCTTCTGAAAATACAAATCTATTCTTTTAAAACCACTTGCTTTTACATATAACAATTATCGTAAACATTATCTGTGTTACGCATTTTATCTTTATCTATTACACTCTTATTTTATTATGTATTTTTCTATTAAATTTTTGGTATTTAAAAGTATATGATCAATTTTTGCATTAAAGGGCATAGTAAGTCAAAAAGCAATGTTGCAATTACATAAGGCATTAATTTGATTTCGATATGTTCAATCTATGAATAGCACATTTCTTTGGACGATCAGAAATTTATTCATGTAATTTTTTTGTATCTTCAAAGTTTCTGGGATTGCTTCTAATAGCTTAGCTTCTTCTTCTGCTCCGAGTTGGTATTTTTTTTTTTTTTTTTTTTTTTTTTTTTTTTTTTTGTTATAGATGTTGTTGCTTTAAAATATACCAGAGAAGAAAACTTAAAGAATAAACGATAAAAATTATTATAACTCCTATTGCTTTCTGCTGAGATATTTGAACTTTGCGTAGAACCTTTATATTTTCCCAGATCATGATATTCAAAAATAAACAGTATATAGCTTTTGAAATTAATTCAGTCTTTGCATATATGAACAAAAAGACACAAAACAAGTAAATAATTATTTATACAGACAATATATAAACTCAAAACTAGAACGGACTAAGAAACATGGTTTTGCTTGCAAGGAACACAAAACTGGCAATGACTGATTGTGCTGTTAGTACGGATCTTTTTTGTTAAAACAAGCTTAAGCTTACTTGTTAGCTTTTGTGGTGCCCCAGGATGAGAATGGAAGTCAGTTATAATATGAAGTAGCATGTATTCATTCACTTTTAAATACAAAGAGTGAGCAGGCCAGCCATCCTTCATCCGTATATTTCTTTGTGCACGTTTGTATGGCTATTTAACTTGACACAAAGATATTAGTATTTTTAGAACGTTGTTGGGAATATGGCTTTTTTCCTCAATTAAGTAAGAAACATGTATCAAGCTTACATTCTATCAGCAATTTTATATTAATAGTTATATTTTGAATACAAGTTAATTGCAAAACATTTAATACATGCTAATAAGATTTATTAAAGATAATTAGATTAAAGATAATTAGATAATTAGATATAATTAGATTTATATAAGATAAAGTAATGAAAAATAATGCTAATAATGTTATCTTTGCGCCTAATTAGGTTATCGATGCGGAAGAGGTTGATAATTAGACTAATTTTTGGCTTGCCATCCTCCTTATTTTAGTGTATTTGAACCATTTAACGAAAGTGTATAACAAAATTTATACGCATTCTCTTTTCAGCATTATCCCATTCTGAGTAAAAGTAACGGTAATCAGTCAATAATACAGATCCAACTATTCACTTTGGGAGCCGTACGTCTTTGCATTCAATCAGGCTGGGATCTTCATCTTGCTTCAGTTGTTGTAGGTAATTAAATAGATAAAAAAATGGATAATTTCCATGCATTACCGAACGCAATTATTTTAACATCAGTTAAGTATACAAGTGGTAAAGGAAGCACTCATACTCCAGATTCAATCGCCTTTA